TCTGATCGTTTTGCTCACAGTGACTTACAAAATAAATCAATCATACAAATCTGAAGTATTTTCTTCCTCATCTATTAAACTTAACTTTCAGATTACAGACTAATTCTTTAGGTGTGTGCAATAATAATTCATATTACATAGAACTTACCACTGCTGTAGCCGGAAAAGCTTATTTAGACAGGGCACCAACTGCCTGCCAGCCTTTGATCAGAACAGGCTGAAACTCGATGGCAGCCAGACCCAGCCAGTGCTCAGTCTGGAGCTGCATCAACAGCAATAAAGAGATACCCAGGGTGAAAATAAGTGAGAAAAACACCTCCGTCTAATCAGCCATGTTCAAGGGCTAGTCAGAACTACAGTTTACCTTTTGTTACTATTTTAAAACACTGCTTCTGTATAATCAGGGCTATCACAGGGTGTGGGAAAAAAAAACACAAACACATCTGTTCTAGAAATTCCAGATAGGTAAACAAACAACATATCAGTGTCACAAGTACAGCGAAGTTATTTATACTGAAGTTACGACATTTCAGAAAAAAATGGCATAAGTGTGCTTAAGATTTTCATTCTTTTTGGAGACCTACAGCATTTATCCAATTCTTAGCTTCCTATCAGCCAATAAAAAGGAGGCTAAAAATTGTCCTCTGATCTCACAAGTTGTGATGTTTCTCCTTCACAACCCAAGCATTTGGAGACACAGATGAGACAAAAAGCTTTCTTCAGAAGTAACATACCAAGTATACAACACAGGAGATGAAGCAACTGTCAGAGTACTTTAAATATCCGTCTGCCAAAACATAGTTACTGATTTAACAAGCTCAGTTAAACCATTCCCAGAGTGAACATGAGTGTTTCAGAGAGAGGTAGGAGGAGCATTCAAACAACTATAGAAGCAAGAAATGCGTCTTCTAGCCCTTATTAGTCTTGGGCCCCAAAGTATGTCAACTTCTATCTGTACTGCAGTAAGTTATCTTCCAAGTTGTAATGTATATCTGCATCCCTCCTGTGCAGGTTTGAGTCATGTATGTTTATCATATTCTTGGCACACATTCTCACACGCTCCCACAGACTAGCTCTCTCACAGAAACCAAATCCGTGTTTGTCAAAATTCAAAATCCTTTTCCAAATCTTGTGCAACCTCCCTTGTATTATGAAAGACAAAAGGCTTACCTTCACTTTTCAGTGTATCGCTTGTTTGCTTCTACTGTTGTACTCCTTCACACTGACCAACTCCTTAAACTGACATTACGTTGTAATCAAATTGGCTTTTAAAAAGCCTATTTTATTTCCAACACCCTCCTGCACCTCACATTTTCAATTTCATTAACAAGCCTCCCAGATAAAAACAGGTTTCTGAGAGACGCCCATTTGATTTCAATGCTTTCCACCTACCTTTTCATTGCAAGGGAAAGACTTACTTTTTTGTTCTTTCTTTCCACAGGCATTCTTCTTATTGTAGACATATAGCAACTTTCTTTGACTGTTTATTAATAGAAACTAGAGTCCCCAGGCAGAACACCCTCACTTTTTATGCAAGGATTCTTTTCATTAGCTTCCTCATTCACCTTTACCTTCTTCATTACAGTAGGAGAACACTTAAGATTTTCATGTGTTTCTTCTTCCAAGGATATTAAATTTAATTATATTTCAGTATGAAGAGTGTAAAAAGGATAAAATACGAATTCAGAATCCCGAGACACGGTTTGCAGATGTAACTTAATTTCCAAAGCATCCTTGACTTTCATTATTTCTATTTGCAGTTGCCAAAACTAGAACCATTTAACCAAAAGTAGACGCAAGCTTTACGGATTCCAGTAAAGATGGAAACCCCTGAGATTAAGCTTACAAGTAAGCTTTTTCTCTTCCTCCAGTGAGGTTATAAAAGCCTAGCTTTGTCCACCTCCAGGGAACGGTCTTCAAAAAAACAAAATCCAAAACCCAAAAAATCACCTTAAAAACAGCAGTCAGTACCACTATCAGTTTAAGAATTGGTTAGAGTAGTACAGAAAAAAAAAAAGGTCTTCTTTCTGAAAATTATTCAATAAAGCTAAAAAACCCCAAGTAGTTCTTTGGCTAGAGATGCGTAAAAATTTATGCATTGTAGAATTTTCTTTTCTCTTGTTTTCTTCCTTCCCCGCCAATTTTCCTGCTGCCCTTCCTTCTCTCCGCTCACCATAGTCAGGAAAGAGATTATAACCCAGAGGCTCCCAACCCTAGCTTGCTGCTAATTACATGTGCTCACAGCACTTACTGAGCATTCATGATACATGCCCTGACTTCCAAAGGCATGGCACAACTGCTTACTCCCACTCAAATCCATGAAAAATTGAAGTCAAACCAGTCAGGCTCTAACATCCGCGTTTGGTTTCCATCATCAGAGGAGCAAGAGTACATACTCAGAAGAAATGAACCCTTGGAGCAAACCAAAGTTGTCAGAAACGTGCAACCTCTCAAAGCAAGTAACTCGGGCAACCAAAGTGATCCCCAGATGCTACCCCAGGCCAGCCTTGCTGTTGTAGCAATTCCTTAGTTCTGCTGACTTAAGAATAGGAATGAGCATAACAAATCCACACCTGCCACAGGACACTAAGATCATGCTTTGTCAAGCGTTAGCAACACATGCTTTGCACCCTGCAACAAGCTGCCTTACGTGTTATCACATACACATTTACTATGACTCAGTATTTAGGGAGTTTTAATGATTTGTTTATATAGTCAGCAGCTGATCATCAACCATGCAAGTTATTAAAACACATTTTCTGTCTAGAAAAGCAGGGAAAGATGCCAATGGCATAACATTTTAATTAGACAATCTTAACTTTTGCCTTGAATTTGTGACTTTCTGCCTTGTGCTACTTCTGTGTTCAGTCCCCTTGAGGCTGAGAAAATGAGTACCACAGCCTCCTATAACCTGTTTGGTAGAGGTTTTTAAAACTGATCAGTGACAAACGGTAGAACTTTACAAGCGATAGCACTATCTTACAAAAGGCAAGTATTTACACGATTCCTTTGTTTTAACCACGAGGTCATATTTGCAGAACCAGATAAACAGTAACTTCAAACAAATACTGAGATCTCGAAGTATAAATAACAGACAGAAGGTGACCATTTAATCATACCACAGAACACCTCACACGCTCTTAGCAGCTGCCACTGCACCAGAGAATCCCATTTCCCTGAAGTTTACGACGGGAAGCAGAAAGTGGTCCTGTGAGGACACACCATACCCTGCACTGTACATGCCTAAAGTTCTGTTCAAAGAAACTTCTAATCTTCAGCATGTGTCTCAAACCTAAAAAAAGCAAAGCCAACAGCACAGTTACATTCTTCATGTATTATACTTTACTGATTTTTAGGTTGCCAAGCTTATCAAGGAAAGAGTCGCTAGCTGCAAATAAAACCAACTGACTCCAAGACCTAAACAGGTTTCCTCCTCACATAAGCTACCAACTGCATTAACAGTTGTATACAAACCATCAAGAGTCAGTTTACACCGTCTAATTTTCGACCTAATGAAAGAATAGCTGGCAGTTACAATGTCTGCGCAGCATGATTTGCTATCGATTCAAGTACAGAGATAGAGCTGTGCACAGGCAGGACACCCCCGTATTGTCTTTATCACTCCAGGAACAGTGGAGAAAACACTGAATAATCCAAGTACTTATTCTCTAGCAACACAGTTCTACTACCTGCTGGGATTCATTTGGCCTGTTTCATTTCCATTGGCTCCAGGCTACCCCTGCTAGGTTTAAAAGTACACATGCATTTGAGGGGAAGTTTATGCTAGGGCCTGAGATGGAAAATCAGTGTTCTGACCATGACGATATTCACTTAGTTTGAACAGGAGGGATGAAAAGACATACAAGCTAGATTTATAAATAAGGGAGTTGAGAAATGTGATCCCCCAGTTCCGCTCGCAGCTCTGCCACAGATTCCCTATGGCCTTTGCTAGTTACTTAATCTTTCACCTGTTCACAACCAACACTCCGATGACCTCATGAGGACAAGGACACAGTAGTCCAGATGATGTTCCCATGCCCAAGCTGAAGTACGCCAATTTACTGAGGCCACCTGACACAGAACCTGAGTCAGATTCCCTTGCTCACAGCACTGGCAGTCTAAGTCTTTCATGAGATCAGGTGCTACCCTGCCTGTGACCACACGCACAAGTGCTCCCTGTCCCTATCTAACAGCAGCAACCCAGCCACCAAGCCAACAGCTGAACACATGCTCTAAGTCTACACCCGTAAGTTTACCTTCTCTCATGGCATGAGAGAAGAAAAAAAAAAAAAAAAAAAAAAGGAAATAATTCCGATTAGATAGCCTGATATACTTGCTTCGGCAGTAATTTCTACTTTACTCTCATGGCAGGAGAAAAGAAAAAAAAAAAAAAAAGAAGAGTACTAAAGACAGCATTTATTATTACATCCTCCACTTTCAGTGAGTTATCTTCCTGAAAGGAGCAAGACTGAACCCCTCCTCTCTGCCTTTCTTACTCACAAATCTCATTCTTTACACACAACACAAGAAGCTTATTTACTTTTGTAGAAAACAAATATGTCTACTTGACAAGTAAACAGACACTAGGAAAGCACATAAGCAGAGCTATCCAACACTGAGAATCAAAATTCAGCCCTTACCATTAAAAAGCATCAACAATGTATTTCTAGCGGCAAAAAGAGACATTGGATAGGTTACCAAACCATGCAAGAAACTGGGAAACAGGACTGGGCACAGAAGCCAGAAGTCCTGTCACTAACTTGATACGTGACATCAGGTAAACAGCTTCATCCACTCTCAGTCTCAGCTTACACTTTAGTAAGCTGATAATGGTAAAATTACCTACCTCGCTACACAGGTGGAGACGCTTTACTAATTCATGACTACAAAGCAACTTGAGAACTGTGGATATAAAGCCAGTACATACACACACATATATAAATTAAAACACATATATTTCTAAACAAAGCACAAGTCAGAAGAATGATAAAACAAGTTACCCAAAAGCTCCAGTCAGCACTCCAGCTGTATTGAGCAGGACCTTGCATTTTCTCTGTGCACGAACTAAGAGTCTCCTCTGAATCAGCAAGTAGCTGGCTAATAAGACCATGATCCACTTCATGAACTTCCTGTGAACAAAGCAGCAAGGTATGTAATTCAACAATGGAGGAGAAAGGTGAAATAAGAAGATAGTTAATCCATTTAACAACTATATATTAAATAAAATTTAACATGCTAGTTTCCCCAAGGCGAGTGGCATAGAAACACTTCCAACTGACAGCCTTTTCATTGATTTTACATTTTTGCCAGAGTATACTATATTTAATTACTACTTACATTTTTCTCAAAGTATTTTATGTCCACAGCAGACCCTCAACTTGCAAACTGAAGCTGCACAGACATTTAGAGCTGGAGTAACACAAACATGAGACACGCAGCACGTCTCAAGAATCTGTAGGACCTTTCAAAACTTGGGAAAGGTCATGCAGGTGTGTAGCACTTACCAGAGAACTGATATATATAAAATATACATACATCAAATATTTAAACTTAATATTAGCTACGCTCTTAATTGTATATTTTGACATATATAAACACAAGTGCAATGCTTCAGAGCAAACAGCTCTACTCTTATCACTTACTATAAAGATAAGCACTCTTCTGTAGCGCTCTCCCTCCGTATCAATACCCTTCACTCAGGAGGTCAGTTCTACTTTATGAAGGGAAACCCAGCCACAGAAAGACACTTGTCCCAAGCCACCCAGCACACTGGCATACAAAACCACCCCGGGGACCTAACCAACACCTAACAGTGCCTGTACTCCTGGGAGTAGGAGATGAAGCTGGATCTCAATCGCAACCCAATGTTGGCACACACGCCTGCCCATGGCTAGACAGGGGCTAGTGCTCCCACCGAGCCTGCTGGCCCAGGCTGGGGCTACAGGCTGGAGAGAAGGCAATGTGGCGAGGCAGCAGGCAGAAACACCCCAAGCAGGCTACGTGGCGGGCGAGAAGGGCTCTGCTCTCCCTGGGGTTTTCCCACAAGAAAACCCCCAAAAAGCCACACGGACTCGCTGCAACTTCCACCAGTTGCCGGCCCGGCTTCCCCGCACAGCGGGCAGACCCCTCCACGCCACGCCACGGCGGCTCCCGACCCCTCCGTGTCGCCGGAGCTCGGCAGCTGCCACGGCAACCTCGGCTGGGGTTGCCTCTCGCCAACCCGGACCGACCCCCCCGGGGGCCGCCGCCGCCACCCCGCGGGACGCAGGCCGCCCCTCCTCACCGGGGCCCGCAGCGCCCGGAGGGCCGCCCGCCCCCGAAAAAACTTTCGGGGCGGTGGGTGGCGGCCGCCCCGCAACCCCAAGGAGGTGCTTCCCAGCGCTGCCCGCGGGGGTTACCCCGCCGCCGGGCCTCCGGGGCAAGCCCCGCGGCCTCGGCCCGCCCGTCCCATCCCCCCGGGGGAA